ACCGCCCAGGTGGAGCCACGTCCCCTCCTTTGTGCGGCCATGACTGTTGACTTTGTGGGCCTCACTCCATCTCTGGACCGGCAGCCGTTTGACAGGCCCGTAGTGAGTGAGTCAGTGAAGCGTGCTTGGTGGGAGCACACGAGATATCTCTACGGTCAAATGAGACCACCTGGAAATGTCTGCTGCACCTGGCTGACTGGTGTCTTCCCCAAATTCACGTCCACCTGGGACCTCACAAGGTGACCTTCTTTGGACAGAGGGTCTTTGCAGATGTAATTGGTTGGGATGCGGTTGAGTTGGGTGGGCCCTGCATCCAGCGGCTGGTGTCCCTACAAGAAGAGAAGGGACACAGAGACATGGAAGGGGCCTGGTGACGATGGGCGGAGATGGGAGACCACGCTCCCAGCCAAGGGACGTCGGGAGCCACTGAGGGGGCGGGAAGCACATCGGAACACAAGCGCGAAAGTGCCCGTTGTTTGGAGCCACCCAGCTGGTGGTCCTTCGCCACAGCAGCCCCTGCACCGCCCCCCCTCCGGGTGAGGCGCCCGTGATGGTGGCAGCAGGTGCGGGAGCCCCTGCCCTGAGCATGTGCAGGTCAGGAAAGCCACCAGGCCTTCCCCGTGTGCGTGGGTCAGGACGCATGGCTCCATTCTTGAAGTGCCTTACTCCGAGACCTGGGGGTGGAGATCACAGTGTGCGGGGGGGGGGGGGAGTTGGGGGGGGCTCCCACCTCGGGGTCTCCTGGCACCGCTGGTGTGGGGTCTGCCTTCCTAGCCAGGGCTCAGGTATGGCATCTGGCCCTCCTTCCTCCTTTCTGGAGGCATGATGCCCAGCGGGCTCCTGGATTGGGGAGACCAGGCCTGCCGGATTCAGGCGCAGGATGCCGGCCTGTGCACTGCACCAGTGTGGTCCACAGTTACCGCTCAGGCTCACTCTTGGTGGCGGGCATTCTGCGGGGTTTGCTGAACGTATAATGCTGCGTTTCCATGGTGACTGCGTCCTGCAGAACAGTGTCGGTGCCCTAAAAATCTCCCCCAAATGCTCATCTGTTCACTCTCCCCACTCTCCCCCAGCCGCGATCTTTGTACTGTTGCCGTATCATGGCTCTTCCAGAATGTCACAGCGTGGGGCCTTCTCAGATTGGCCTCCTTCACATAGTTCCTGCCTTTGCTGGCCTCCCAAGGCGCCACGTGTGAGGCCCTTGTGGGGACACTGGGCCCCGGGTCACCCCTATCTCTAGATGGTCAGCTCCACGTCTCTGTGGGATTCCTCTCGCCCCACGTAAGGCGACGTAGCCCCAGGTTCTGGAGATCAGGATGTGGACATCTTTGGGGGTCATTCTCCTGACCACGCAGGCTGTGCCCAGGCTCGCCTGTTCCAGAACGTTCTCTATCCGTGGACTCTACTGGCCATGCTCTTGTCTATTTTGGGCTTATTGAGAGGCAGCTAGGTTCCTGCACTTGGTAGTGGCCGACCCCTGATCCTGTGGAGTGGGACTCTGGGGCAGGAACGGATTCCAGTCTGTTCATCCATCCACCTGTTGCTGAATGCCTGGGATAGTTTCAGTTTCTGACGATTGGGACAAAAGCTGCTGTGGACATTCCTCCCAGCACCTTCTGTGGACACACGTTTCGGTCTCTTGGGTGAAGGCGCGTGAGCAGAGTGCCAGGCGCTACAGCAGGTACGTGCTTAGCTCCACACGGGCCGTGCTGCATGCACGCTCACGGGCCGGCTCCACGACCTGGCCAACCGAGTCCTACATTGTAGCCATTCAGGGGGGTGTTCGGCAAGGTTGTGAGATTTTCCCTTTTTGTGGTGAAGTTCACGACATGAAGTTTACCATTTTAACATTCTAAGTACACTGACCTCAAGCACATGCACACTGTGCTGCAGCCGTCCCCACCACCCGTCTCCAGAACTTTCCATCTCCCCAGACTGAAACCCTGTTCCCATGAAGCACTGACCCCCCAGCCCTGGCTCCCACCATCTACTCTCTGTCTCTGTGGACGGGACTCCTCTAGGGACCCCCTGTGAGTGGGGGTCACGCAGGACGTGTCCTTCTGTGTCTGGCTCCTGTCACTGCACACCGCGACCTCCAAGTCCGTCCACGTGGTGGCAGGTGGCAGGACGTCCTTCCTTCCTGAGGGTGGGTCACATTCCGGTGTGTGGATGGACCACATTGTGTTTATCCTTCATCCGCTAAGGGACCCTGGCGGCTGCTGTTTGCACACCCAGAGGTGGGGCTGTCGCATAAGGTCCTAATTCTCCATTTGAGTTTTCAAATTGACCTCTAATCTTACACTTTTTGATACCAAGTGGGTAATTTCAGAGGCATAGCCCGGTGGCAGGGCACTTGACTGCAAAGTAGACCATGTATATGTAGTGGAATCTATAAATGTCTTACACAAAGTCCTCTGCTCGGGGGTCGGAATCTCTCATTTACAGATTTGTTACCAAAAATCGAACTTTCCACTGTCTGGTCTGAATTGGGACCGTGACTCACTTGGCCTGTCCCCTGGGCTCCCTGGTGGCCCCTGGTGCCTGGACACAGGGGACAACAGGCCCGGAGCACTCCAAGCCCTCAGCAGAGTGACGCGCCCTCCTACAGGCCACGCTGGACGGAAACAATCTCGAGTCGCGGGGCACAGGGCTAGCGGTCCTCGAACTTTGCTCCTCGAGGTTTTCTAACAACAGGCTGGAAAGCCTGTCAAAGCTGACAGCTGTTCTCTGGGGCCGCCTGAGGCCATGCTCCATCTGGGGTACCCGCCCAGCAGCCAGGGGAGGGGACCAGCCTGTCCTGCCCCGACCCCCACCCCCAGCAGGCAGGGGGCATGGACAGAAGGACCAGTGAGCCTTTGCACTGGGGATCAGTTCACTCTGTATAAACAATTCCACACAATATTAAAACACTGCAAAGTGGGTGTAGACACCTGGAAATTTTTTTAAAATCAGAAATAAAAGCCACTGAACATCCAAACGGAGATGGGGTAGAACCTGCTAGAACCACAGATGGCTTCTGCGGACCGGAACCGGTCTGTGCAATGTTTGGCAATGGTTAGGGCTTCTTTTCCAGAGACTCCGTGGCAGGCTGGCTTTTTGTAAGTGTTCTTGAAGGACGAGCAACCCTCGGTGGCCTCCCCTGGGCCTGGAAGTTGCTCCTGGTCACTCGCCCTCGGGGTGGGCTGGTGGCCTTTTCCTGTCCCCAGAGCTCGGTGGGGCTGGGGCCCCACAGACACGGATGAGCTGCCTGGAGGTCCAGCGCCCGGACATGGAGGGGGTCAGCCAGGGTCACAGGAAGAAGGACCGCACATCCCTGGGGGCCAGAGGTCACCACCACCCAGTCACTTAATTCTTGGCCTGGGGGACCGCTGTGGGGAGGGGTGTGCCTTCTAGCTCCTTCCTGGAGTGGGGGAGGGGAGGGGAGGGAACGGGCCCCAGCTGTCAGCCCCGGGGGACACCCAGGCACGCTAAAGAAAGGGAAACCCTGTGTCTCCCGCCCCTGTTTATTTTGGGGGGGGGGGCGGCGTGCCCTTAATGCCCCCTCTTGATGTGG